TGTGAAATTTTACAATATACTTAAAACTATTATATTGAATATTGATTTTAAGTTACACGGATTTGCAATTATTTTAACAGTAAATTCTATTTTCACCCGGGTTAAAGTCATCAAAATATTACTAAAACTAAATAATTTTATGACATTATATAGTTTATCGGGTGACTTTAACCCGGGTGAAAATAGAATTTCCCTAATTTTTATTGGTCAACATATTAAAAAAAAAAATTTTCAATTCCCACTTTGGCGACCTGGCCGGGATATGAAAACCAATTCTCGGTGAGACGATTCTAAAATTGTCTAAATCTAATCACGGGATTTCGAGTTTTTCTTGCTTTGGGTAAAATAGGATGGATTTAACCCATCCTATTTTACCTGAAGCAAATAACCTTTTAATTATCTCGGAATCCCATGATTAGATTTCAACAATTTTAGCTCGCTAGAATTTTCTTACCGAGATGGTGATCAGTGAATAAAAAGTTATTCACTGTCAAATATTTTACGTACCATTTTTAGTAGTAATTACGCAAATCCACCCATATGTTAAGCTTAGTTCAAAAACCGTTTAAATAAATCAATTTTAAATAATTTATATCAAAGAAGCAGCTGACGTCAGATTGTGATAAATACTCTAAGCATGTGGTTTTGTGGTTTTCTGTGCAAATCTTGTTGTCATTGAAGTCAAAGAAACCGATGAAATTCTCGGTGTATATAATTATATCGGATGGCGAAAGCGATTTTTTAATTTTACATTATGTCTTGCAATAATAGCAATAATAAGCTTTACTTTTTCATTGAAAATAGAAATATTCAAAGTTCTATTATAATAGTTTTTTTATTAAAAAGTGTATTATAATTTTTTTTGCTTTAATAAATTAAATTCCTATAACATACTGGTTTTTAACTTGATAATTTTATCATGCTTCAATCATTCTAGCATTAAAACTACTTTGTTGAATAGCTTGTACGTCTAAACCCTCTTGTTAAGCATCTTTCGTAACCCAGTCTTGTAGGATAGTAAGATCTTTTCGATCGTTGGCTATTAGTGGGAATGTAATAAATTCCATGAGGTAAACAGCACTTCTTAGATCAAGTTTGTTTGCAGCATAGTACGTTTCTTGAGTTAGGTGTAAGTATAAAAAGTATTTATGAGGTATACGGATATCTGACCATTTATATAATGAAAATAATTGTCAGACAAAATGTCGATTGGATTTTTCGGTATTTTATTAATTGGACGAGCGTCATTTTTGTAAATTAATTTTTAAACTGTGAATTGTTTAACTTGAATTGATAAAATTTTAAGTGAAGTCTGATATCTTGCATTATATTAATTAATTACTTTATATATTGTTTCTTAATTACAAAACCGATTAATTAACTGCGTGCTCAAAATTGCGATTTTCTAAATGCAAAAAAAATATTTAAATTTATAAAATTGTTAGAGCATTTTAAGTACAAGTAAAAGCCTATTAGTTTTAATATAATGTGAAATAGGAAATTATCTTAATAATCATGTTTACCAAAATTACGTTACAATTTAGCATATCTTAAACCCAGTTCGTTCTCTGACGGCATCCTGATGCCATCGGAGAATAAAATGGGTTCAAAATTCTAGAATATTTATTTGATGTGATTTTACCATAGTGTTTACCAGAGTTACAAAATAATTCTCTCAAAGTTATATTTACCAACATTGTGTTTACCAGAGTTACGAATTAATTCTATCAAAGTTATGTTTACCAACATTGCTGCTATAGATTTTATTGTTCTATTGAATAGAAAATTTATTACCAACTTAATAGAATTTTTAATAAAATCAATAGAACCAATAGA